AAGATCTTGCCTCAAACAAAAATCATATGATGGGTAAAATAAATGTAGTTATTACAGGTAGGACCTTGTTTTCCTGAGGAAAGATAGCCAAGCTAGAGCTAAAGGCAAAGCATATAAAACCTTTCATAATTAATTTCTATTTTATTTTGTAATCCAGTACCTCTTCCTGAGTCTCTTCCTCTCCTCTGACACATTTACGCATGTACAGAGAAGAATGTGGGCCTTGAAATTCCACAATGTCTGTGGAATAGCAGCTCTGCTACTTTCTATATAAGCCTTGGGCTGGTTATTTTAGTTCTCTGAGTCTCCATATTTAATCCATAAAACATAAATAAAGTGAACTTCAGGAAGGTCATTATAAGATTGAGATAAAATAGTAACTATAATGTCCCAACTATGGTTTCTAGTGCAGTACAGGCATTTGATAAAGATGTGCTGAACTGATACTGAAAATTAGATAAAGTTTATGACAACAAATACTTTTAAACTGGATCTAGAGGCAGCTGAAATATTTTGGCATTTTTATGTCAACACTAGAGCTGAAGTTCATAAAAGAAATCCCCTTCTAAGAGTAGCAACACTGAAAATGATTCTTTATCTAGAATTCTTTGTTCAATCACTTCCAGGCATGTATCAGAAAGCCAAACTAATTTTATCAAATACAGCTTCACAGAAGTAGCCCCAGCCACCTGCTCTAATTCCCCCAACTATTCAATGAATTCTAATTAGCAGAGAACTACAATATTACTAGAAAGATACTCTGGGTAGACCAATCAACCAGAATTTGAGTTTAACTGATTAGTGAACTCACTTTTATTAATGCTATTACTATGTATTTATAAGAATACTTTCAAATAGATCACCCTAGTTTAAGTACCTGTATAAACTTCATTTGGTTCTAACAACCTTGTGATATAGACAGAACAGATATTAACCACAGAAGTTGAGAAATATGATGCTCACAGTGAACAGCTGGTTTTGCTAAGTCACATGGGCAACTAAGTCAGGAAGCTTAGATTTTAATTAAGCTTCACTTCTAAGCAATATCACCCTGCCATTCTGCTGCTCTTCAGACTCAAGTACTTATATTCCTTTTATTTGTTCACAGAATAACCACAATCAGTATGATAAGCTCTGATTTTTTACATTACATATACTAGAAGCCTGGTCATCATTTCATGACAGGGGTATCAGATAAAGAAATCAAGGGTAAAATGACAGAAATTACTTAATATAGTTGAAATAATAAAGCTAAAAATGCCAAAACCAAAATGCAGATTTATGTTCACCTTCCACGTTTCTATAATTAGCCACTTTCCAGGGCTGCCTCTTACTCTCAAGCCTGTCCCTTCGCACATGAGCAGTCAGGTCTGAAATTCCATTTTCTATGTGTGATATATTAGCTGGGCCTGATAGCATCTGGCACCAACATTCTCTTAGAGGAATTTGATGCCACACTCTTTCAAAGTTGAGTTGGCACCTCCTCACTTTCATTAAAACAAGAACCTGAAAACTAGTGTTCTGTCCCTAATCTATCCATCATTAAGTAGTCAGAGAACAGAGGTCTTTCAGATTAGGGGAGATGACTGAGCATCTACCTAAAAATGAGTAGATGTACTTCCCTGAACCAAAATTTTCACCAGACTGGTAGTATTAAGATCAATTTTAAAATCACAAATACACTCATATTCATAACGTAAGATCGAAATATAAGCTAAAATAAAAGCAACAAGTCAAAATCTCTCCCTCCTGTCACTGCACCAAGTGAATTCAATAGTCACAGGTTATACAAAGGGAAACTGTCAAAAATGTCCTAAACAGTTCTTCTATCTGGTGAGACTCAACACCCATTCCAACAGTTTTCTAAAGACACAGACTCACTCAGAGAATCCTTCTAGCTCTAAAAACGACTAATCACTATTTTTTCACAAAGAAGTAAGATTCAGTTTGTCAAAATGGACTGTGAATTAAAATAAGCCTACACACAGAAACACAAAATAATGTGGGCTCCAGCTAGCACAATGCCCTTTTTATACTGCTCAATTTTAAATAAATAAAGAGGAAGGAATTAAAACAAATTATTTTGAGAGGACTATAAAAGTGGTTAAACTCACTGTTTTTAGTAAAAAGTAAGATCTAAATAGTTATTTAATAAATTTTCAATGTATATAATCACACCTCAATTTCATACTAATTAACAAGGTGTGATAAAGTAGGTAGGCCTATAAGGAAAAAAATTAGCAAGGAGGTTGAGACATCCCATGTCAAATGATTTTACTGAGTATCAGAATGACAACATTGTACAGTATGGCAATTCTTTGTACAAACCCCTTCATGAATTTCACAAAATAAAATCAACTCAGAAACATCTATAAATTCTTGCTCATAGTTCAAAGGGATACACTCCCCAAAAGTCTGTTCATAAGCCCCTTGGTAACAATTCTAGAAGTGGAAGGGGCTCTGGATAGCCTCTCAGGAGATTTGGCTTCTATTTTTGCCCCCTACCCTATTATCCTAAGCCAATTACTTTGTCTCTCTGGATCTGTTTCCTCACTTGAAAAAGATGATCTTTTCTCCCTTTTAAAGCTGAATAAGATTCCATTCTGTATATATAAATCTTGTTTACCTGCTGATTAACATTTAAATTATTTCCATCTTCTAGCTATATGTGGGCCTTTTCTTTTTCACTGACAATAATTATATGTATTTATGGGCTATAATATAATGTTCCGATATATGTGTATGTTGTAGAAAAGACTAAATTAAGGTACTTCACATTTATCATCTCATCTACTTTTTGTGATGAGGACATTTAAAGCTTACTCTTTTAGTAATTTTAAAATATACATTATTACTCTGACACATGCTACAATATAGATGAACCTTGATGATATTACACTATATGGAAAAAGCTAGGCACAGAAGAACACATATTACATGGGTCTTACATGAGGTACCTACAACTGACAAATCCTTAAGAGAAGAAAGTAGAATAGAAGTTACTAGGGGGAAGGGAAAAAGACTGAACAGGAAGTCAGTACCTTATAGGTACAAAGCTTCTGCTTGGGGTGTAAAGCAGTTCTGGAAATGGATAGTGAACTGTGCATTACATAAACATGGTTATATAAACATGGTTAAGAAAGTATATTTTATGTATGCATATAACATATGAAACTTGTAGGTAGGAGAGAAAAAAACCCACCTTTTCCTGACCAATTATGGTTGAAATTCTAGCAGTCTTCTAGTATCATAGCAAAGATACTCAGAGAATGAATAGAATCTGTTCCTTAGCACTTTTTAATTACTAGCTGTGACTTAGCAGTTTTTTTGAGGTCTTGTAACAGTTAACAATCCAGCATTCAAGTTAAGGGCTTGATATGTAGCAAGGTACTCATATTCTCCCATTAAAATCCTTACCCCCCCTTCTTTCATAAAGAAGCGGGCTTTCCACATGTAACAAAGGTATTTCCTTAAGGCCAGCCAAAAATCTCCAAGAAAATACTCCAGTTTTTTTAAAACTGTGCTGCAATCAGAGTATTGTGACATCCCCTTCCAAACATACAATAAAGCTGTTGTAACCACTTTATTTCTACATTTGGATGGCAGTCCTTAACCAGCGCTGCTTCTTAGCAGACATTTGGGCTATAAAGTCAAATTTTGAGGAACCACATTTAAACTTCACAGTAGTTATACTGAGTTAATTGTTTCAACTTCTGGAACAAGACCTCCCTTCCCGAGACCAGGAGAATGAATCCAAGCACCCACCAGATGGGAAGTATAGAAGGAGTGGAATATATCAGTCTCTGGAATACTTTCATAGGACAGCTCAGGTGTCCACAGCTAATTTGAGATGACGAATACCCTCCTACCACCACTGTATCTCTAGCACCCATCAGAGAGGTAACTGCAAAGAACCTTCTGTCTGACTAGACTAAGGAAGTCATAAACTTGGCACATCAAGCAAAAACAAACAAAAACAAAAACCTGTTTATGTAACTGTAAGTAGCATTACATTCTGAGATTTCTTTGTGGGGTACTTCCTGACTATCTTGCATAGCACACCTAAAAATAATAAAACAAAATACAACTCAATTAAATCTGGCATGAGCAAAATACCTGAGAATCTGGGAATATGCTTCAGTTTATAACAGTTCCTAAATCAGTAAAGAACACAGATTCAGGGGGTTTATTCTTGCTCAGATAATGTGGTGGCAAAGATGATGCCCATAAAACTAATAAAAAACAAATAAAATCAAGAGAAACTATTCTTGAAACTTCTGCCTTCCTTAAGTATTCCAAGGAGAAGTGCTCTGCACTGCAGTACTCTCCATTTATACACTGCATTTATTTCTCCATTTATACAAGAAAAAGAAACCTCCAATGTTTTGACTAACAACTTACCTCCAAGGTCCTCAGAGTCAGAATGTGTAACAATTGAGCCCAAATATAAACAGGATTTCTCACTGCCCCTTTCCAAAACAACTCAGTCGCTTATTACTGACTACTATCCTTCATTCTATTCATAGAAAATATATTCCAAAGAAAACTCAATTATTTGCCATGTTTTCTGTATGCAATTACACTATGAAGAAATGATTTCCAATTAAGACCTTCAAGTCTCGACATCAGAAAAAATACATGGCATAGGAAAAGTGTTTCCTCTTGTACTAAACCAGGATAAACTGTATATACATTGTAATGTTACCCTACCCCCACAGACAAGACTCCTTCTGAGTTTTCAATAGAATGTAAAAAGGAAGAAATAGTGAAAACAGGGAGACAGGGAGAGAAAATGGCTAATCTGACTTACTTTTTTGTGTCTCAGATAATGAAGTGGCTAACAGGAACAAGCTTTCATATCGACCTCCAACAGAAAAGCAAGGTACAGAGCTGAAGCTTTAACGTGCGGCAGACAGGGAGATGCCACGTGGGCGAGACTACTATGAATAAGGGGAGGAGCTGGCAACGAGAGGAGGGAAATGCAGAGAATGAGCACTCACTCAGTTAGAAGCTGGTGCAGCTTGTGATAACCTCGCTCCAAAGCCAAGCTCACAGGTGTCGCCCCTTCTTGGTTATGGATGCTCAGAGCTCCGCGGCCACCAGGCTTCTGCAATAGGAACCAGGTCAACCTTAGCAGTCCCAGCCGCACAGCAAAATGCATCAATGTCTCCCGGGGGACACCATCTGTACAGGAGGAGAAGGCAAAAATAAACCAAAGCATAGCATCAATGACAACAAAATACAAATGAGGGAGGCACCGCTGCCTCCAAGTGCCTCTGATCCTGAGAGCAGGCTACACAACTTTATCGTGGCCAGTACAATCAATTCTCAAATACAGAACCTAGAAAAATGGAAAGGAAGCAAAACCTTCATTAGGAGACGGTCCCACGAAAAGGAAGCCATTTCTGTATTCTGACAACATTTGTTCAGTATCACAGGAAAATTTATAAAGCCGACTCACGTTCTTTTCCTCTTTAAAAAAAAAAAAAAAGTGAATGCAACCCTGCAAAGTGGGGACCCAAGGGGAATAGTGGTCAGGACTTAGATGGGTGTATCATAAAGGGTATAATTACTTCAAGAGGTGGCTGGTTAAACAATAAAAACAGGTTCTACTTGTTAAGTACACACAGGTCTTTTTATTCCTCTACATGAAGGACATATCAAACTGCTGGAACTCTCAGTATTTGTTTGATGAGAAAAAAAAAAATCAATCTTCAAGCATAATAAGACTGACTCTTATGACAATACACTTGTAACTTCATAAACGAAAATGTGTTTGAGCTTATTCCACTTGAAGGCTCCTTCTTGGTATGAGTCACTGTGAAAGCGGTGGAATGAGGAAGGGCTCTGGAGTTAGGCAACTCTGGGTTCAAACTTGTTATTTACCATTTGTGTGAGCAGACACAATACATCTGTCCGGGCTTCACTTTCTTTGTACCACCACCTCACTCAGAGCTGTAACTAGTTAGAGGAGGTAAGTGAAATGCTAGCCTACTGACTGGCTATGGCACGTACTCATTAGGGTTAGTTCTTTTCCCTTTCTCTGCTCTACGTCCTGTCCTGCTGGACTTTAAATTACACCAGTAACACTCTCTCTTCCTTAGCCATCCTCTTGAGCCCAACCTGAGAGGACAAGAGCCAAGCTGGATGTGACGCCACAACCCAGTTCCAAAAGGTGTGCCTGCCTTTGTCCCAGCTTCTTCACTAAGCAGACTTCTTGGAGCCCAGAGTTTTCCTGACTCTGAAATCCCCAGATGCTTCTCTTTGTGAATGTCAAACAGAAATGAACACATCTCTGAAGCTGTGATTTTGCACTGAATTGCAATGTTGTCATGTCACCTGTGCACTGGTGCAGTTTCCTTATTTCCAAGGTCAATTTCCTTGGAAATTAAATTTACCTTTCATATATTATATTTTCCCTACAGAACTCTCCAGGATTCATAGTGTTCAAGCAGAGGCACATGGCTGGAATGAAATCATGCCCCAGGGACTACGGATGCAGCTTAGTGACAGAACATGTGCCTAGCATGCCCAAGGCCCTGGGTTTAAACACTAATACCACCACAAAAACAAAACAAATCAATGCCCCGGAAGCAATAATAATACATTGTGGAGGTACAAATTTTAATAACACCTATGAGGAGGTGCCAAGGAGACAAAAAAAAAGAACTCTCACAAAAGATCAAAGATCATCATCTGACTTGTGCTTTATAGAATGCCTATAAGCATTCTGACATCCTTATCAAAAACTAAAGAACTAATAAGGTACTGATGGACCAGAAAATACAGGTATGTGATTTTCCCAGAGCCAGTTAATTCCAGTCTTACTGGGTGATACCTCCTCCAAGCAGCTTTCCCTTCGCTCTTCCACCCCCTTGCTCCCTTATTTGCTCTGAGTCAGCTTCAAGTTTACGAGTACAGTTCTAACAATAACACTGCACACCTGATCATGACCTTGCACCTTGATTCCTGTACCGTACCCCTCCCCACACTCGAACCCCCACTCCCCATCTAATGCTGAAGTCCTCAGCAGTAGATGCCACACCTGCTTACAGGTAGCCTGGTTCTGCAGACAACAGAGGAAAAGTAGTACAAAGGGAGGGCCTGCTACTGTCCATCTAGCAGGCTATGTAGTTTATTTCAACTTTTTCCTTTAGGTCTGTGCAATAACCTTATGAGAGCTCATTATCTTCATTTTGCAAATAAGCACAGGCTCATAGAATAATTTGCCCACAGTCAGAATTGGGATTTGAAAAATTCCTCTCTCTCATATCTAAATGCGATACTCTTTCCATAACTCCTTGTTGTCTCCACATATATGCGTATATAAAAGCAAGTTAATGGTGTGGTTTTAAAAGCACCCTTTCAAGTATACCCTCATTTATGTCTGTATGTATTTCATTTATTTATTTTGAGAAAAGTCTCTCTGTAGTTCAGCCTGGCTCCAAATTTACTACGTAGCCCAGGCTGGCCTTGAACTCGAGGAGATCCTCCTGCCTCTGCCTCCTGAGTGCTGTGTGACCACTCAGGATTACAGACAGGACTACAGATGTGCACCACCATGCCCAGCCTGTTCCCATTTTATTATTTCAAATGTACACATAAACAGAAAGAACTATACAACAAATAATCAAATACAAACCTAGATCCTACAATTAACGTTTTTCTGTATTTGCTTTATCACATATCTATTCAGCTAGCACTGCTGCCCCTGGCTTTTAAAGACAGAGTCTTGCTATGTACCTCAATTCAAATTGGCCTTGAACTCACAACAATCCTCTTGCCTCAGCCTCCCAAATGCTGGGCTTATAAGTATATGCCACGATGCATGGTTCCAACTATCATTTCTTCTATACATTCATAAATCCATCTTATTTATATGTATTTCAAAGTAAGCTTGAGGACATGAGAGTACCTGTATTATAACTAGAGTTCAATACATGGTTACAGTTTGAGGTGATTTATACACAGTGTTATAGAAATGGTATAATATGCCACTCGATAAATTCTGACAAGTGCATCATATACCTGTGTTAAATACTAATCAAAATACAGAACATTGTCACCATCCAACAGAATTCCTTTATGCTCCTTCCTAGTTGAACCCTCTCATTGCCAGAGTGTAAATTTCTTACTGTAGTGTTTTTTGCCTAGCCTAAAAGCTATATAAATGGAATTATAAAATAGATCCTCCTGTGTAAGCCTTCTTTCATTCAGCATGTCTGAGACGGACTTGTAATCCCGTGCATCAGTAGTGCATTCCTTTTTATTGAATAGTAGCCCAGCCTGTGTATATATCTTAGTTTATATGCTCTCCTGTTCATTTTTCACATATTCTAATTTGTTTGTTTGTTTGTTTGTTTGTTTTTCTCCGGTACCGGGAACCGAACTCATGACCTTGCGCTTGCCAGGCAGGCACTTTGCTGCTGAGCTAAATCCCCAGCCCCCACATATTCTAATTTGAACTTCACAGAAATCATGTGAATTTGGTCTCAAGAAGAGGTCAAGGTACAAGGGATAAACAAATGAACATACAAATGGAGTTTCTGCTGATCCACCTTCTTTAAAGAGCATAAAAGCGTTTAATCTACATCTGCCACATTACTTTTGTTCCTTTTGTATCAGTTTAAACTGCAGAGTACCAAAAGCTCGCTCTCTAAATGCTTATCTATATTCTTTCTCATGATTCTTGGTCTTTTTCCAAAGTTAATTAACTTTATTTTTAAATCATACAAGCTGGATCCTTTATCCTATTGTGAACTTAACTTTTGCCATGGAATTTTTTTATGTCCCTACAGCATTTCCACCAACCTTTCCATCTTTTCTCTCCTTGTGACTTTTTTTATAGACATAATTAAAGTTCTTAATCAGCTGACTTTATAAGGGAGATGTGTCCTGAATAATATGGGTAGGCCTCACTGAATCAGGTGAAAGACTATAAAATGCAGAGCTAAAAATATATATAAATAAATAAAAGGGCGTATCCTGCATGTAAGTGACTTTAAGACATTGTGTACTTAGGTTTTCTGTGGCCTTTATATGGCAAGGCTTAGCTTTGCTCTGGAGTGTAGGGGTTTCACCTGTGGAGGACAGCCACAGCCTGTGCCCACAGTTTCATATTGCTCAGGATGTCTCCTTCCTAACCATTTGAGGATGACAGCTTTGGCCGGTGATCATGGGTCTGACCTTGCTCATGATCTGTGCATTCCTGCCCATACATTTTAGACTTACTCAGCAAACCTCCCTGGAAAAAGCCATATATTAACCTTAAAGTATTTTTTTTCTCCTAGCATTCTGTTTGTCTAGTTAAACACCGACTAATATACTTCTTAAACCAGTTTTTCTCTTTCTTCTCTAATTTCATTATAGATCTAACTTCTTTGGTCTTTTGAAGAATACATGAAAACTTTCTTCTAAACACTTATGGTATTTTTCTCTTTCCTTTGTCCTACAACAGTATTTCATACTGTTTCAACAGCTGGTTTTCCTGTTTAAACTAATTAACAGGAAGATTTCTACAAAGACCTACATTCTACCGACAGAAAATCTAAGTACACAATGTCTTAAAGTCATTTATATGCAGGATACACCTCCAACACATATCCCATCTGTAAGAAAATTATATGCCTTTAAGACATTTAACAATGAGGAGCCTGTTAGAGGGTCATATCTTTTTCAAACTGTCATATTCTCCAACTAAACAAAATATTAATGATGTAATAATCAGGCAACTACTTGTATTTTCCTATCCCATCAACCTATGCAGTCAGCTCTAGCTCTTTTTGAACCTGAGATTTCAAAAATCACCATTCTTTTTACTATTCTTAATGTCTCTTAAACCTGAAGTCCCATTGTGATGCAGAAATTCTCATACTGCAAGGAAGGAAAATATTCTTAATATGCCAGAGTGAGAAAAATGAGACAATACATAATATTATTCAGTCATAAGAAATAATATTATGTCATGTGCAGGAAAATGAATGGATTTGAAGACTGTCATGTTAAGCAAAATAAGCCCGACTCCAAAAAAAAGTTTTATGTGTTTTCCCTAATATGTGGACTCAAACAAGGCAGGCTGCAATCTCAGCTACTCCAGAGGCTAAGAAAGGAACACTGCAAGTTTCATCCCAACCTGGGCAACTTGGCAAGGCTTTGTTTCAAAATAAAAAAATAAAAATAAGGGGAGGCGGGGCAGTGCTCAGCTCAAGAGCGCCTGCCTAGCAAGCACAAGGCTCTAGGTTCAATCCCCAGTACTAGAAAAGAAAGGCTGAAAGAACAGACAACAGACAGAAGGGAGGAAAGAAAAAGGAACAAAGAGGACACAAAGTACACTGGAGACTATTAGATAAGAGGAAAGGAATGAGGGGTGTACAGGACAATAATGCGAGAACTATGTATATTATATGGGTATCTGAGAATTCCACAAAGAAACCCAGTATGTTACAAAATATGGCCTACTAAAAATGTATATGTTGGAAAAATCAAAGTATAAAAAGAAAAGAATAAAGAGACTGTGACTCTGTGACAAAACCAAGGTTTAAGAGGTAACCTTCAGGTCTTTAACCCTGCAGCTGCTCATCTTAGAGTCAATGGTTATTAATCCTTTGCCAAGGGAAAAAAAAAAATCCATGAGCAGTCTTTTCACACTATTATTTTCTTCTTTAGAAGGGATGGTAACTGAAAACACATACAAACACTAGTACAGTTAAAGAAAAATCTCCATGTGAAACTATCAAACACTGTGAGAACCAAATCACCACATGATTAAATCTAAGGACCCACAACCAAAATAGATATACAAGACTGGTAGTGCACAGGCTGTTTTTATGCAGTCTTTCCTAAACCTGTCCTCTTTCTCTCCTCTAAATTTCTCTTTGTGTAAAGGATCCCCACCCCCAAAAAGGGTTACATCTTCTTGTCATTTATACAATATCGTGACTAAGAAAGAATGAAAATTCCACCCAGGACGTTTCTCAGGATGCTTTCTCTAGAGCAGGCCTTCAATGTTCCCACTCTAAGCTACCTGAGAGCTATGCTGACTGCTACTATGCACAGATCTCTCAGGGAAAGCCAACCAACTCACCCTTCTCATTAACCACTGAAGCACTAAAGAGCTGAGACAAGTTAAGTGAGACTTGGAAACTCAGAAAAGGAGAATGTCTAAGTCTCAACATTTACCCTCCACCCAGAGAAACCCTTAACACTTATTTAAGGCAGATCTGTGTCAAAAAGTACAGTGTAGAAGCTTCCTTATGTAATTAGGGGTTGGGACTACTTGGAGAAACTCAAATGGACACTCTGTTTACTCAAGTTGGAAGTGACACTTCCTTGAGCAAACAGCAACACAAGAAAAGGTGCCTCATTCTCCTTTGAAGAACCTTCCTTTTAAAGCCTAGCTTGTCTTTTCCTTTATAGGACACACCACCATCCCCTATCTTAGCTTTGCCAATGTTTTGTGCCTCTAAAAGACTACTGGGTATCAGTTATGTTATTTTTGAAATGAGTGGCTTGCAAACTAGCACTATAATTTCTTCTACTTTATAGATGAGGAAATGGAGTAATGGAGATGTAGTATTTTCCACAAAATGTTGCAATGAAGCATGATAAAAACAGACTCCAATGCCCATGCTTTTGCTGTTTTTAAAGTATCAAATCTAAACCAAGGCTTTTTAGCTTCATGTTCACTCCTGAAGTTCAAGGACACTGTGAAATTTACTAAATGTAAATGTTTGTAGGGAGCCACCTGTATGTATTTTTCCCCTAAGAAATCTAAGCTATTTCAAAGGAGTCACTAACCTAAAGGGAAAAAAAAAAGCCTAAAAAGAATGGTATCTCAGTTAAGGAGTAAGAAGATTAGCTATAATTCTTACATGATGCTTTTATATAAGTGTTAGGCTAAAAGCCTATAAACATTCTAGCTTTTAAAAGCAAGTAGTCCTCTTATATAACAAGGTGTTCCAGTTACTTGTGTTGTTATTCTAGGTACCAAGCTTACTTCACAGTTTTTTCTTTAAATGCCTTTTATAAAGTAACTGATGTATTACTTTTAAAAACTGACTGATGTGAACAGACTATTCCATTACATCTGGACCCTCAAGTGAAAGCATGGCTTTACTACTCCTTTCAACTTGCAAATACAGGCCAAACTTGTCCCATTTCGTTTGTTATTCACTTATTATTTCAGATGGGTACACAACACAGTTTACCTCAGGCACTTATACAGTCCTATATGTCTTACCAGATGCATAAATTCTTACAGTCATTACACCTAACAAGACACACAGGTAAGTCCAATACTCCCAAAGAATGTGCTCATGATTCTCCTTTGCAGTCAGGCCTTTCCCCCACTCCCGGTCCCTGGCAGCTACCAATCTGTTTCTATAATGTGGCCTTTTCTAGAATCTCAAATAATGGAACCATATAGTCTATAATCTTTAGAAAGTTTGACTTTGCACAATCCAAAAGTGTTGACTCTAGTATCCCATGATATGGTTATTTTGGTTTACGTATTCCTTCTGAGGGGGCTCTAGGTTGTTTCTATTTTGTTGCTTATAGATACACTTGCACACAGACTTTTTTGGTGAATACTGATTTTCATTTCTCTAGAATAAATATTCCAAGTGGAAACTGCCAAATTCCTCCAGAGTGGCTATACCATTATGCAATGTGTAAGATAAGCTGTTCTGCATTCTTGCCAGCACTTGGTGCTTTTTAATCTTAGCCAAGCTAGTAATTGTGTAAAGACAAAATATTATGGTTTTAATTTTGTTTATTTCACAAAAGTGGTCATATTTGGTTTAACCTTTGCTAGCACTGCTTGAGCAATTCTGTACAACAGGAACTAGGAGTGTACTACAAATACACAAAAATTCAAAGTTGCCAGGTTCCTGCTATTAAAGACAATGAGACTAGAACCCAGAGAAGGAAAGTGATTTATACCCAAGGTTTCTCAGATCTCTGCTTTTGCCACTAGTTAAGCCCTGAGCCCACTTTAAACCAGACAAAACAAAAGCTTAAAAATGCCATAAGCTCCTCAAATAACTAATGCACTTACACCTTGATATGACTTGTAAATGCAACCAGATAATCATTTGCATATCAATACAGAAATGATAGGAGCTATAGGTATTAGGACTCATCACTCAGTTTCTTTTCTTTTTTTTTTTTTTCCACTCAGTTTCTGAGTATGTACTGAATGTCAAATATTCAGATCCTGAGATCACAGCAATACAGAAGTCTCTGGCATACTATATAATAAGAAAAAAAGAGGGAGTTTGCTTCCTTGACTTGATTTTACGGTCCACATTTCCTTTCATATTTACCTGGGCAAAGCTTTCCTGGCATCTCATTGTATGCCTCTCTTACAGTATGGGACATCATTACACTGCTTGGTCTTAAATTCTGTGAATTTGAGAATGACTCAACTATTCTGGGTCTGAGAAAGGAGGAACTGACCACGCACTGACTCAGTTCCCTCTAGATCTTTCTCATCAGGAATTGCTCACCTGTAGACAAAGGGGCTTCTGGTCAGCTTGCCCTACATAACATAATAATCACAGTTGTGTGGACTCTGTAGATCAGTCACGTGTCTGTACACTCTCGCAGAGATGAAGTAGAAAGTACAAGCAAATCCTTCTGGCAGGAGCTTTGAGGTCAGTCTTCCAAACTAACTTTCATCAGTACTAAAGTCAACATTTTGATCTGTATTTGTGAGATTCCCAAATGTTTCAATTGGATTTGCACTTCAGAAGGAAACAGTGTTGTTTATGCACGCCAGGTATAACTTACATTTAAAAATATATATTACATGTAATCCTGACATCTCAGAGATGTAATTTACAACAAAAATAATGATGTGGGAAAGCCCTTGTCTGATTAAGAATACATATGTAGGTACTTATTACATCAGTGTTTCTTAATAAGTGGAGTCTTTTATTTAAAGAACTCTTATATGGAGGGCTAGTAGATAAAATTAGTAAGGGTGAGGCCACCCTGCTTAAAGAACTATAGGGCTTTTCAAAGCTTATCCGGCTCTCATGCTTCCCTGATGCTCTCCCCAGCTGTTACTTTCCTCCAACTTCACAGAAGCTCTAGACAGTTTCAGAACATAGTAACAAAAATCCTGTCCTTGGTAACTTAACACCAAGAAGTTACTCTCCACATGGGGGACAGATCACTATCTCCTTGTGAGATCAAGCCTGAAATCCAGACTTCAAGGAAGAAGTGCCACTCTCTACTTGTGTACTCTTTCTTCCGTCATCTCAGTGGAAAAAGAGATCCCAACAGCTCAGTGGAACAGATACCTTCAAGACCACTTTACTATAATAATTCTAAAATTTACTCAGCCATTGTGGATGACAGAAATACAGCATCATCATATAAAAGCAACCCTACACACAAACAGAAGTGTTCCAAATCACTGTTTTTTTGTGAGTTGTATAAATTCTCACCATGCAAAGTCTGATCTGTTCCCAACACATTCCACTCTGCTGGCAGCTTCAGGTGTCTGAAAGCCAGTGAAACCTTCTCATCAAGAGAATTCACATCCCCAGATGGGGGTCCTGAATGGTCAAGAAAACGAGTGAAGTTCAGCGCTTGCTGGTTTCCAGCACTGGTTGCCAGGAATTGAGCTGCATCATATGCCTCATCCTGGACAAAATGGAAGTCCTCTTCAGCCACCACAAACACGGGAAGGCCCTCCTTGGAAGCACAGAGCTGCACCTTCACTGTCTCACAGCAGTCATGACCTAAAGGAAAAACAAGCCACAAAGAAAATGACATTAGAGTCTCTCATGAAAGAAGGACACTGGTGGATCCTCTTAGCTCTTTTTTCATGACACACAAAATTTCTTCTCAATTCTTCCTTTCTCTGACATCTGAAAGTATTTTTCTAAACTTCTTTAAACCATCAGCAGTTTTTAAAACTGTTACTTGCAAAGGTGAATCAGTTCCCACACAAACAGGAAGTAACTGTATTTCTTACCTCTTACCAGGTCTGTGACACAGCACTTGGCAGAGAGTAGGCTTTCAACACCAATTACTGTTGTACTGTTGTTCAATTTTAACAAATTAAAGAATGAAAGCCCCAGGACCCTATAAGACCCTGTTGTATGTAACATACAACAGGAAATGTCATACTTATCAAGCTAAGTTAGACCTGAAAAGGCAACGGGGAAAAATATCTCTCACATAAGAAATGTGGTTGCAATTCTATGGATTCCCCAGCATTTGGCTTATTATCATTATTATATAATAAATCAAGTGATGAAGCACTTTGAAAAGTGCAAACCTATGTGATTTTAACTTTACCACTGTTAGGTAATCCAAGGCCTAAAAAATAAGTAACAATTGCTATTCGATATACTTTTTTCTGTCTCAACCACTAATAAAGAAAGAATGAGGCCGGCCGCCGCCGCTCAATTGGGATCTATCATGACACAGAGAAACAGTGACACAATGGCCCACCATGCACCGACTGCAGTTGCCCACCCACGGATGTGTGTGAATCATTGAAACTTTGAACAACCCCTGGTAATATATGCCATACAACGGGCCACTCTTGCTCCTGCCATTGGGAACCAGAAAGGTCCAGAGCCAGCGGAGGAGCAGCTGCTGAACAAGGACTCAGAGAACATGAGAATGCAGACTAAGCCCATGGAGTCAGAGGTCCAGTGGACTGGGATCACAAGAGCTGCTTGGAAGCTGTAAACCAGGAGGACCTTGCACAATATCTGCAGAGACTCATTGGAAGCCATTCTTCCCCTGACAGTACAGGCTGTGGTGAAGCTCCGGAGAAGTCTGCAGCAGGATTCCTGCTGCCTGTGCTGACAGTTGGGGAGAGGACACTAACTGGTTGTGGGGTCTCAAAGCAATGGGAAGCTGGAGAGAAAAAGCTACAAAGAATGGCTTTCACCCCAGATAGCTCACTTGAGATGTTAGTAAGAATTGCCTCCTCAGTATTCTATAGCCATGAGGAGGAGGAGGCCAAGGAGAGAAAACAAAGAGACTGAGAAAAAGCAGCTGCTTTTGCTGCACCACTAAGAGAAACAGATCCCAGGTCTGATTCCCGGGGCTCCAAGAAGGACTCGACAACTGCATTCATCTGCTACCACTGTTAAAAGCCAGGCCACCTCAAGAGGAACTGCCCTAAGAGGCCCCATGGGCCATGCCCTGGATGCAAAGGACACCACTGGAGATCGGTCTGCCCTCTGAGGTAGAGGCCCCAGAGCTCAGACCCATGCTACCAGTTACTCCAACAGGAATGAGAGGGCTTGGGGCATGGTCTGCCTTCTCCCTCTGGCCAGACTGTCATCTCCATCGAGGAGTCCTGGGTAATCATGACTATGGAGGAACAAGAAAACAGCCTATTGCTAGTCACAGGTGCAAGTCTCTCGGTCCTTCTTTTCAATCCTGGCCTTCCTTCCAGCCATCATACCTCAGTGAAAGGAGTCACTGGTGAGGAGGTAATATGCTATTTTTGACAACCCTTAGGCTGTAACTACTTATTAGATCCTTCTTGCATATCTCTGTCTTCCTGAGAAACCACTTTGAAGATACCACCACGTATTACAGCAGCCATTGATATTTTCCTACTAATCTATCCATAACTGTGTTAAGTTTATAATGTTCCTATCCTATTTCATAATGTATGTTTATTATTATGTGTTTCCTACAACATCCATTGAGAATAGTTAATGATTTTTCAATATGTCACTCACGTATAGCTCTATTTATTTTCTTTAGAAGCCACTTTGAAGATACCAAAGTATAGCACAACTCTTGATAATCTCCTACCTCTTTTGTCTCTAACTCACTATTATTTGTCTATTTGTTTTCCTGAGAAACTATTTTGTACATAATAATATGTAAAATGATAACCATTGATAATTTCCTACCACTTTGTCTGTAATTTGCTAAGTCCCCCCATTATTATGTTATCCTTCCTTTATTCTTTAAAATAAACTTCTGTTGTTTCAAAAAAAAAAAAAAAAGAAAGAAAGAATGAAATCATGAAATCATCTGCTTTGCATAAGGAGGATATGATGCTGTGGCTAGAAGTTCAGTTCAAGAAAAGCAAGACCATCATACCCAGTGTAGAGACTGGAAGGTACCTCATGAGCTGTGACTGTAGGTAGCAACCTACACACTTCCCCAATAAGCAAGACTTGACATCATCACCGTTCTCTGGGAAAGGTGTCTTTAAAGAGTAAGACTTTCTTCTAGATGTCTAACTTCTCAGAATTAAATATTTGCAATATAAAGAATGTAGTCAATAAAATACACAGTTTTTTCGCAGTTTTCAAATACTAGTCTCAATTAGCCAGTACTATCTTGCTCTGACTATCATTACTCCTCTTCCATGAAATATCTTTTTGACAAGAAAATTAACTTAGTGTGTTTTTTTGAGTTATGCTATTTCATACTTTGCCTGATTCATTCACAGGCACTTGTGTATCCATGGAGTCCCTCAATCTACAACACATGCACGGACTGCTTTTTAGCAGTATAGCAATGCAGAGGGAACACTCTATGTGTCTATGTGGTCTATCAGTCTGTCTTTCCATACTACGGGCACAGGCCAGCAGTGGTATCAGACTCGGGCAAAACAAACTTCTGTTACCTTTAAAAGAGAAAAATGGTTTTTCCATATGTCCATCAGGAGACTAAGCTGACTTCTCCACATACCTCTGTCTGAAGGTCCTCCTGAAGGAGGACCCTGACCCTTTGTGACAAAAGAAATCTCTCACTGCTGTGTGATTCTAGGGTAGTAGTAAGTATCTACTAACCAAGTACCTATCCACATGAGACCTATGACAAATGTTTTTCTCAACATAACAATTTGATGAGGTATATACTATACTGTTAACTTTATAGATGAGAAAACTGAGACTTTAAGAAATAAAATTACTTGTGCAAAGTCACACAGCTATTAAGAAATTAAATCCATTATTCAAAGCCAAAGCTGATGCCTAAGGACATGAACTATTACATCATCACGCAGGCGTTTTGTACCATATTGCCTATGAACAGAGGAGGGAGGGTAACAGTTAAACCCTTGTCTGAAAGGAGTCTAACAGCTGGAATGACAGGCCAATGTGACTGGTAAGTAAGAACAACAGGTTTCTCAATCACCAGATCAGTCTTCACACAAACATGTAACTCTCACTGCCTTCTAAACGGAATTCTTTCCATGAAGAGTATTCAAAGATGAAGCTTCTTTTGCTTGATCTGTATGTGCATGCACACAGGCATGCACACACGTGCATTTCAACTCAACGTATGCTTGGAATTTTTACAGTTAACATATGAAATTACATTAGACTCAATCTTTAAAGGGCAGCCAACCTAATTATTACACAGACATCATTATCAACAAAAACTAGCCAACTGATTCAGATAATAGATCTGGGTATTTTTCTTGCAGAAAGTGTTTCTTCTAAAATGTTCCTGTAACATCTGACTCAATTTTGCTCATCAAAAGTTTAGGTATCATGATTAGAATGTAATGATGAATAGGGAAAGAATCTCAACCCTCTGTGCATTACAGTCCATAGCGAAGACTAAAACATGCTGCAGATAACATTGCAAGTCTGAACGGGGTGGGCTCTGTAAGAAAACACAGTTGGGGTGTGGGGAATACTAAAGTTCAAAAGTAAGCAAAATCAGGAAGCTTTCACCAAGGAGGTAGCAGCTAAAAACAGCCTTTGACAGACACCCTATCCCCAACTGCTCTAAACTCCAAGCGCTGTTCTCTGCAACCTTCAGAACACAAATGCATTACTTTTTTTTCCCCTTTTCTTTTTTATTATTTATTTAGCAGGCACTTCTATCTAATATCTACAGATATTAGTCTCAGTGCTTTAGCCAACAACCATTCATACACTTCTCACAATAACAAGCAGGCACTGATATCCTCATTTGCTGGATGAGAACACTGAGGCACAAAACCATTAAGTAACTTGCTCAAGGTTATAAAGCTCTGACATAACAAAAATTAAAATCTGAACCAGACTTTCCTCATTCTAATGTCTACTCCATAACCAATACTTACGGATATTTAGGATGACTTAAACTAGGTCAAGAGTATCATGGAAGAATCAATGAGAGAGAAATAAATACACATTGAAACCTTGCCTATAGCCAACAGATCAGCTGTTGCTTCAATGAACCTCAGTCCCATCAATACAGCACAAAGGAGCGGTCTCCACAACTGCTAAGGTTTCTCTGTCTGTAAAAGCAAATAGGTTTCGTCAGGCAGAAGGTGAAGAAAGAGAAAAGAATGGAAAATGGTTTCAAGAATAGGAAACAGCCTTAAAAAATATAAAAATGGGAGGAAGCAGAGAATAAGCTCAAGGGATGGAACCATTACTACAAAAAATATTTTCATGAAGACATTAACTAATCTACATATAGTGGCTTGTTAGAAAAGATTTGGCTTCAAATCTGATTTCTCACTTATTAGTTCTGCGGCCTGAGGTAAAAGACAATGTCTATTACTGTCCAGTCTAAATAATCCCCTAGCCTTGTAGAGCTGAAATTTGGAAGCCCACCCCCATTCTTTAATATCATCACTCCAAATGACATGTGTAGCCTCACTTCATTTCCAAAGTGAGGGAGGAGGTAATATATTTGTCAGAAAAAAAATTAAAGGAAAAAATGTGGCTCATGAATTGAACCAATAATTAGTGTTGTCCCATTTACTTAGAATTAAACAAATTAATAAATTCATGACAGTCCCCTGAGATAG